GAAGGAAGCTGGTTTCCAGCTGGTGTTGCCTAGTCCCAGAGAAGTGCCCATGCTTGCTGAAGGGATTGCTGTCTTGCTTGAGGAGGGGGAGAGAGACCAGGAGACATTTGAGTGCTTTGGCTGTAAAAGCATTGTTGATTCTGAATGTTTTATTCTAGATTCTATTTTAATGACGTTTCCTTGATTAGGATAAACCTTCCCCTAACTGGATGGGTTTTAATCTGAAGTCCCTGCTTCAGGGCCTGAGGTGTGAGCCCAAAGAAGTGGTAACGTGTGAAGGACACAAATTGTGTTATGTAGGTTTAAGATGGGAAGAATTTTCTCAGCTGTTACCCTGCTTTGACAAAGCCTTCCCGGGCATGGGGAGCTGCCGCATGCACAGCAAAGGGCACCAGAGTCTGGGCAGGCTCTTCCACCCCGGGATCCTTGCAGACCAGCAGGGTGGAGGTGGCCCCAGCCGGAATGTGTCTGTGATTTCAGGTCCCTGAAGTCCCAGGGATCTCCCGTTGGTAGTTAGAGTTGCTTTACTGTTTTGTTTAAAGATGAGAGACCTGAGCTTTTGGTGAAACCCAGTGCTGGAGATCTCTCTGCTGAGATCCCCAAAGCCTTGCCAGACTACATTGAAAATCAAAGCCCCCAAGTCTCTGTCCACTGAAGCTCTGGCAGGAAGAGCACAAACTTGCCTGGCTTCCAGATTTACCTTCCAGTGTGAGCGTTGGTTTCCCCACTCCAGTATCTCGGCTTTTCCCCGTTTCCTTCCTCTCCACCCTGCACACTGTTTTACTGACATTAACTCGTGCTGTTTCATTCTTTGGCTTTTGCTCCCTTTAACAATAAATGCATGTACGAATAATTTTTGACAGTTCCTGTTACTCTTGATGAATCAGTTCCGGGACTGCTTTGAAGTCCTGTGCCAAAGGAGGAATGAAACACAACCCAGCTGCTGCTGCTGCTCCACGGGGAGGCAGCAGAGCCAGGAGCTCAGGGAGCGGTGCAGCCCCCACCCCTGGCCAGGCAGGTCGGGCCACCCTCTGCTCCGTCCCTTCCCCTGCCGGCAGCTCTGGCCGCCTCCCAGCCACGGGGATATTCGGCCTGTGTCTCTCAGAAGTTCTTCGTGGTAAGTTGCTCCAAAACATGTGGTGACCTCAGCGTGTTCCACATCGCTCTGAGTGCTGTGGCAGGTCTGAGCGTCTTCCAGCTGCCCGACCTCTCCTCTCTGACAGCTTCACTCACCCCCCGTGGTGCAAACCATGTCACCTTCCAACTAGTTGCCTTCCAGCCCCGATGTGCTGGACCTGAGCCTCTCACGGGGCTTCTACACCAGCAGCTCTGTTTCCGCAGGGAATATAACCAAGCTCTGACCTCGCCCAAGTAGTTTTTTCACGCCTGCTGTAACCCCCTCTGTTACAGGTGGAGCTGACAGTGCAACGCTCGTGTGTAAAGCAACTCCGCCAGGGGTGGCTCGAACACGGGGCAGAGCTGTATAGTGCTTTATGATTTTCAGGGAATTCAAGGTCGTTGATTCTGATGTCCTGTAGACCCCAGGGAATGACATTTCATCCAGAAGCCCCACACTCAGCCTGCTGGTTCCAGCTTCACTGACATGTCCCGAGCTGAGGATGTCAGAAGTCAGCTGTTGTCCTTGGCTACAGACTTAGTGCTTTGTCACCTTTGCTGTTTTAAAAAAGAAAAAACAAAACCAAACCAAATTCCGACCAACTTTGAGGCTGTGATTCTTTCCATACCCCCCTGTACAGGCTGAGCAGTGTTTATCGCATTTAAAGCATATTTGTGTTTTATAACTGGGTCTGACTGTGGATGGAGCCAAGACCTGGCTCTGTTTCTGCTGCAACGGGGAGAATTTCTAAATGATGTATTCTGATCACTCTTCTTTGGGACCATGGTGCCTTTTTAATCAGGACAGTAAATCTTGTCCCAGGATTCTGTACTTTTGTACGTTAACAGTTGTTGACTTTCCTTTTTTTGGTGTGTCCCAAATAAATTAATATAACGTACCTCTGGGCTTTGGTTTCTTCTGTCTAAAGGGGGAGGAAAGAGGAAAATTAAGCTAAAATAACCCTTTTCTGCTCTCCCAGGCACAGCTGTGACGTGTGCAGGTGGACCTGATGGTGCCAGGATGGTGCGGGGCGGTTGCTGGGACGGCAGCCTCAGAGTGAGTCCCCACCAGAGCCCTTTTTTGTAGTCAAAATTGCTGGACCCACAAAGGTCAGGAGAGGGGTGAAACCTGCGTGTGGCGGTAGCATCACACTGAGGCTCTGGGTGTGCCTCGGGTTTAGGGACAATCCTGGGGTGATCCCACTGGGGTTCCTCACCCGTGGCCTGTCCTCTCCTGGCTGATCCAGGGAGGGCTGGTGCCAGAGGAGCAGAGGCCTCCACCCGGGAGAGGAATCATAGGATTGTTTTGGTTGCAAAAGACCTTTTAGCATCAAGCCCAGTGTTAACCCAGCACTGTGCAACCTACCACTAAACCATGTCCCTAAAAAATGGGCAAGGAAGAAATGCTGGAAAGAGTGTGTTGGCTTCAACAGCTTTTTGTGGGAGGAGGGAATGAAGATGCACCCCAGGGGCTGCTGATACACCTGAGGGAGGCTGAGTTGCTGGTTTAACTGGGCATTGTGGAGAAGCACCTCCAGCCTTCACAGTCAGACTGGACTCGCCTGCCTTGAACCTTTTGCTTGGGTTTCTGCAAGGGGAGCAGGAGAAGAGAGAGTGTGTCCCCAAAAGCAGTATGGCCTGTTCCCCTGCACCCCAGCCTTGCAGCCAGGCAGGGCTCATGCCTCCCCAGGGAGGGTTTAGGGCTGTTTTCCCCAAGCAGGGCCTGTCACTTGGGGTGCAATGAGCCAACCCACACAGAGCTGAGAGATTTGCTTCAATACCAGTTCTGCACAGACCAGGTGGTGTTCCACATGGCAAGCTCAGCTTCCCAGGGCACAAGGGCTACTTTTATCCCCAAAGCCATGAAAAATTACTTAATCTCTAATTATATTCCATCGTTCACACACATTCCTCGCTTCCATTTAAAGTGGCAGTGCTGGAAGGTATGTCACCATGCATGCCCAAAGAGTAGGGGGCTCTTTGTTAGCAGGGGTCCCTCTGGCCTGTGGATGGGTATTTTAGTAGGCTACTAGCATGTGAATATGCTGATGAGATGTTAATATTGTGACTCAAATTACTCAGAGTTTTCTACCTAGTGCTCAAGGCTATCACCAAGATAAGTTGTGGGGAATACACCCTTCCAACACTTTCATCTGTCCTGCAGGCCTGTCTCAAGGTCAGGCTGTTAGCTACTTGGGACCTGCTTTTCTCTAATTAGCATCTGTTTTTTTCTCATTCTTTCTGTTTCACTGTTACATAAACACTGTTCTTATTCTGCCTCTCTTTTGTTCTCTCGTATGTGATTTTTTTCCCCCAAACATGATTTTTTTTTTTTTCTCCCCAAACTTTACTTATTTCAATTAATAACTGACACTGAGGCCTCTCTGCAGGCAAAGGCTGAACTCCCCTGGCCCTTGCAAATGGCCCTCAGAGCTGCCCAGGTCTGCTTGACACGAGGCTGTGCAGAAACACCCCTCACATCTCCCAGCACGTACGTGCCTTCTCACACGGTGCCTGCAGCTCTGCCCCATGTGGCATCTCAAAAAGAGGAAGGAACATGAAAAAAACAACCCAAAATGCAAATGCTTGCACTGCCTCTCTAGTCTGGATGCGGAAAATGATCTGTCCATGATTCAGAGCACAGCGACAGCCACAGAGTTGGAACTCCAGACAAGCCCAAGCCCCGTGCTGTGGGCACACACTCCTGGAGGCCTTGGGCAGCACCCGTGGGGGTGGGCACGGGGGGGTCAGCCCCTGGATGTCCCCATGGCAACCTCTGTGTCCCAGAGGTGCTGGGTAGCTTCACACAGGGTGATGATGGCAAGCCCTGGCACTGTGGGTGGGATGCTGGGGAAGGTGGTTTTCCTGGGAAGGGTCCACCCTGTGAGACTGTGTCATGAGTGTGCTGGTGCTCAGCAGCTGGGCTGGGTGTGGGGGGCTCCCAGTGGGGAGAGGAACCTCCCATTTTGCCTGAGCCTCATGTTTTGTCTCCTGGAGGGAGCACATCAGGCAGGTGGTGGCAAAGGCATCTCAGCCGCGACAGAGCTGGGCACTGGCATCCTGGTGTGACAGAGCCCTGGGCCAGGCTGCCCAGAGAGGCTGTGGAGTCTCCTTCTCTGGAGACATTCAAACCTGCCTGGACACGTTCCTGTGGGATGTGCTCTGGGTGACCCTGCTCTGGCAGGGGGGT